GCAACCCAATATGAATCTCAAGAGTTATCTGCAAACTTTGTTACCCGACCAAATGTTTCCGGGCTAGAGCATAGCAAAACAAGGTAACCAATCTTTTGCTCCAGTTCAAGATCTCAACTTAATATGGTAAGAAACAAAAACAATGGCTTCTTTGACTTCTTTTTACAAATACACGTCTTGGGCAATATGATGGATCAGTCTCAGTTCCATCGATGAATGAAAGTAGTATGTTACCAAATCACTTTTTACCTCTTTCCTCAATTGCTCCTTCTGTGGCCAAGCCTTTATGCTGCTATATCCACACGTTTTCACGCAGCACCCAATAAATGGAATAAACCAAGTTTATGATATCCGCACAAATTGTTCATAAGGAGTAGCAATATTCCTTGAAATCTGCTTCCCTTCATTTTTTTATGTCTATCCCTAAAATAAAAATTCATTAAAACTTAAAAATGTTATTAGCAGAAATATCCTACAGGAATAGCCAATGGAATTTCTTCCAAACCCATCTTCTAACACTTGCTATAAATAAAATTCCTCACATTTCTAAACCAAAGGTCTAGAATAATCTAATCATTCTTTCATTCACATTCAGAATAAAGGCATGACACTTTGCAAAGAACACTTAACACTCTTTACAAAGACTTAACCCTTCCACCAAGCTGCTAACATTGTTCTTTTCAGTTCTGCATTTTAGTATTTGAAACACCAAATGACTGATCAATGCAAAATATTTTACCACAGAAATAACTTATTTCTTCTCTAATTGCTTAAAATGAGCCTACAATTTTAAAGTAAATCCATATCCTGAAATAGAAAATTTGAAGATATTGATTGCTCCTTTTTAACTCTAATAAAAGAATAATTTTCCTGTCTAAAAGACAGGCACCATATCCACAGTGAGACACTGAATCTTTATGATCTATAATCACTTCATTGCTAGAACTATTCATACAAAAATTAAACTTAAAAGCACATTCCTGACTAAGAATAGAAGGATTTAGAAATGGAAAATTAAATAAACATTTTTAAATGTCTATACTTACCCTATATCTTCCTATCACCAAGAAAACAAGTATTTAGCACATGCATAATTTTTTACAGCAAAGTGAAATATCCCCAAAGTTAAAAAGAACTTGAACAAAGCTAACAAATAAACATTACAGTTTAATGAATAAAAATGTATTTTTAATGGAGAAAATACCCAGAAGGCCACATAATTTTTGTAACAAAAGACATTTTTTCCCACTTCAAGCCTGCAAGAAATTTCGCTCAAAATGAAGTTTACATTTTTCACCTGCAGACTAGAGTACTTGGGTTACTGTATCCAAATCTGAATGTGAAAACTGCAGCAAGATTCCAGCTTGGACTGAATAGGTCCATATTCTCCATATCAGACTGCCATGAACATTCAGCCCGATTCCCAGGCTGACTCTGTCAGTTTAGGGATTTATTTTTTAACTAACATTAATTGCAAACACTAGAGAGCAATTCCATTTATGTAGCCACCCAATTCATATCATCAAGACAAGGATGCAGCGTATAGGATCATCAAATACGGTACAAATCCAAATGAGACTAATCAAACGAGATTATGGATTATAACACAAGAAATTTCATCTTGACACACCTTTCACTGCAAACAAGTAACATTCATCAGATGCTCTTTTTCATACTCCAGAGATACTGCGAAGCACCTCCGTACCTATACTAACTTCAAAAGACCACCTTCTACTGTGTATTGTGAATATCTACACTTTATTAAGCACACTAGAGATCCCTGTTTAACTAGTAGAGTTATGGGGATTTTTAAAATGAGTCAGTGACGTTGTCAACTCAAGGATCTATTCAAAATCCATCTTAATTTTTTAAAGCAAAACCTGCATTATATTGGTGCTTTTGGCTTCCTGCTTTGGAAGGTTTATTAAGAATTATTCTGAAATAAACCAGTGACAGAAAAATGTGGCGTAAGGTCGTTTTTCCCAAATGTGAATCCAACCTGAATTTGGTTAGAAAAACAGCAGCTTATTAAAACAAGCTGCACTGAGAAATTCAGAAAAGCATGCACATGTCTGGTATTCCTACTGAAGCTTCTACTTGCCTAACAAACTGGTCCCCAAGTCCCTCTAAAGCAGTAATTCCAGCTAGGTCATAGCATATCTGAATATACAATTTGATCAGTTTTGATAGCCCTTGAACTGATATACCTTGACCTTTAGACTCTTTGCCAAAAGCCACTAACAACCTTATGAACTTTCTTAAGTATTTAGTCTTGTCAAGATATTAGCTGACAACCCTTTTAACATCCAACATAGGCAATGAGCTTTCCCCAAAAGATGTTAATGCTTAAGGAAAACATATGTAGATGAAAATTCAAAAGCACTTTTGTCAAGATTTTAGAGGAGCCATAGCAACATCTTTTTCCTGACAAAAAGATACATGAAAAGGTTCTCCTATTCAAGCACACTGCTTTGGGTTTACCTGACTGATGTTCTTGTTATGGTTAATAATATGCTAATAATATGTTCTTGTTATCTTGTTAAACATTCTTCTATTGATGTAAATGATGATAATTCATATTTTACCAATGGGAAGAGAAAGATGACGGGAAGACCATCAGACATACAGAGGAAACTTAAGTTTCCAAGACAAGATCAGTTCTCACAGATCCGGGATGTTTACTCCCATATTTCTTCTAGATACAAAAGTTTCCACAAGGAGAGCTGTTGCTCTGTTACGTATGTTAAACTGTTATGTTTAGCCTCTTGAATTACTGCTTCTGCAAAAACAGAGAAGAAAATTTAATATACACTTATGGTAACATGGATTTTGTTGCAGGTATTTATACTTTCTCCCTGGTAAAATACACAAGTGAGTATTTTCTCCCTTTGTTCAATATCCTGTAATATTCTGAAACAAAAACTATATGCTATCTATTGCCACTGCTTCAATATAGAAGTGTAAGAGTAAGTTCTGATCATTATTTCTAAAATGATCAGTGATTACCATTTTTATAGATCCAAGTATCTTATAGAAAGGAACAAAATACAGCAAAAATACAAAAATCCCCACCAGGAAACAATCTCCCTGTTCTCCTCAATATAGTTTTTGAAATTCAACATGAGCCTGCTCCAGCACAAGAACTGTACATTTCCATTGGCTAAGCTCAGAGAATCATAGAAGGTGAAAATAAAATCTCCATGCTTAAAATGCTATATAATGATCACCAATAATAAAATCCTGCATAAACATGCTTGTTCACAGTCTAGTTTGAGCTGTGTCCTATTATTAATCAAACTACTATTAGCCAAATAAAAAATACTAAATTAAATGATGACCTGGGAAGTGATGGAAACAGAAGTGCACAAATGTCAAATGTCAGCATGATCAGCCTGACATCCCCTTGTGCTGCTGGCATAGGTGAACCCTGGCTTGCCTCCTACCTTAAAACTCCCATACCAAGTAAATCAATTAAGTGACACTGAGTGTTGCAAACCAGGATAGCGAACAAAGACGACTGTAGTAGTTCAGGACTGCAGCGTAAAGGACTGCAGACTTGCTCAGCCTAAATTCTACATAAATGCCTTATATTTCCTGTTACCAGTGTGCCTCTGAAGACCTAAAACCAGGGAATAGAGACACTGCACAAAGAAAATTGGTAGACTGTGAGCATCTGGATGAATCTGTAGCATTCACTGACAGTTCACTGGAAAAGTTCATACACAGAAGAAATACTTAACCTACGTGTGTTACAAATAGGCAGTATTTTCAAAGGGAAAGGTTTCTTTTGAAGCCTTTTAGCATGAATAAACTTGGAAAATGGAAAAATAGAGGCTTTATAAAGCTCTAAACAATTTTGTATTCAACCTTTCACCCAGCTGCAAATTTAGGGCAACCTGCATGTAGTGTTGGGGGGGGTTTGGTTTGTTTTTTTCTTCTTGTTTTGTTTTATAACCTTGTAGAAATGTCGCAGTTAATGATGGTCATTTGTCTGTGTTAGATCTTAGTTTCTAAGATTGACTTTAACTTAAAGGTTCCAGTTAAATAAAAATGCACTTTACAATTTTGATGACTCAGGCTCTTCAGCATATCCTGTACTGTGCTCATAATGCAAAATCCTACACCCTCAGCAGGACTAATTAGAGGCTGCAAAACAAGTATTGATTCAGAGATGCTTAAGTTACTGTTGCAGTGATACCTGTTGAGGCAAAAACAAGTTACAGATATGTAAAAAACTGAACAAGGAAAGAGACCAAAGCAGAAGAAAAAAGAAAAAAAAAAAAAAAAAAAAAAAAAAAAAAAAGGACCAAGCCCTAGTAGTAATAAATGGGAACTATAAATTTTTTTATTTTGCTCAAGTTACTGAGAATTCCTTAACACGCTTTCAGAAGGGTGGGTTTTTTTTTTATTTTTGCGGGGGTTTGGGGTTTTTTTAATACAAATATGTTCATTTGTTTTACCTGCTCTAATACAAAACAGATTTCTTCAATAGAGATAAATAACTTCTGTAGGAAGAGGAATATTCTTTTGTTTTGCAAATTGGCTTCCAAATTATCACTTTTAAAAGAACTGTTAAGAAGAAAATTGAATAAAATATAGATCACTACCAAAAAGCTTTTAGAACTTTATGAATAACATCATTTCATTAAAATTTTTATTAAGATTACAAGTAAATGTGTTCAGGTATTTTACATCCTATTTATATCTGAAGAATGTCAAAACAGAAGGCTATTAGAAATACAAAATAAATGCTCATATTTGCATTCTGTTATAGGTACAATCATCAGTATTTTCATTCAAGCTCTGGCACTTCAGTGAAACATACTGAAAAAAAAATCAGACAAGCTGCTTACTGTAACAAACAACTAAAAATAACATGGAACAGCTTATTTGTAAACTATGCCCTAGTTATACAAAACACTGGAAGAATGACTAATTAGTTTTATATTTAAGGCCTGTACAAGATCTTTGAAAGTATTTAAAACTTAAATGATGGTTACCTTAAGGACACACTATATTCAGGATAAAAGATGCTTTTATACTGAACCCAGGTCTCAGTTTCCTCTTCTGTATTCTGGTCTTCTACTGAAAAGAGATTGAACGATGCGAACCTTCTCACAGACACTTGTTGGAGATGCACATCTTTAAAGTGCTTTTTCTTCAGAACCTTTGAAATGAAGAACAAATTAAACATTAAAAATAAAACTTTCAAGAAAAGAGCAAGCACAAGCTTATTTAACTGAAGATGCAAGTCTGGAATCAACCCTAATAGCTATGCTATTAGCTAACAGCTATGAATAACCAGTCCAAGTATGTCAAGCTTGAGAAAAGTAACAGCAGTACTGATGGTAGGGGTCAAGAGTATTGGCTATCAATTTATTATATATATATATCTGTAACTGTAAAGCAAATGTAATGTGTTCATAAGGACACATGTTCAGAAGTACAAAGTTGCTTTTTTAACCACTGCTCCAGCAAATCCATGCCAGAATTAGAGGCAGACCGAGTTCTTCTCTATCCTTCCATCACCACTGTGAAACTTTCTGTGCTGCTCACTGTCCCTATAGATTAAAAAGTCTACCTGGCAAACATATCACTCAGGTTATTTTCTAGCTTAGAAGTTTACTGCTGGACACTAGCAGAACTGCTGCCAAACCTGCTACCTGTCCCAGGCCCCAAATTTCAGATGCCACAACTGAATATTCCCCTACCAGGGCCCTGTAAAGGGACTGATGCATTAGTCAGCCTTTACACAATCCCCAGAATACGCTGACAGCACCAAGAGACTGAAGAATTCAAGGTAGTGGCAGAAGAAGGATGTGGCCATATGCATTTTGTGTAATAGCTAAATGATTAAAACTCTTGTTCACAAAATGAAAACATGGGCTCCCTGTCCTGCATAGCCTGCTGCACTCAAACGTGTCTTTGGGGAGTGAGGTATCAACTCCACTGCACAGAACAACCCGGCACCCAGCCTGTTTGAGCTGTATCACTGCACAGAAGACAACCAGCATTTCCCTGCCAGACAAAAAGGCTTATTCTTTAGTTCAGTGACGTGGAAGGAAAGATGTCCTGCTCTTAACTTCTTTCTCCTAACATTGGACAGAATACATAAATAATTGCCACTGGATTTTTAAAATGAAGGTGCATAAGCAGTCCACAGTGACGAAAAAAAAAATAAACTCATCACTATAAACAGAGCTTCAAGGAATAGCTCTATTGAGTAGGAGAGCACTATAAGTTATTTCTTTGCCAACCAGAGCTAAATCTAAAGTCAAATTAGAAGTAGCTCTCCAGAATCATGAAACTTGAAATGGAAGCTGTGCATGCGCAATGCATGCAACAAAATAAAGGTTCAGTGATTTTTTTGTTGCACCCAACCTTTGTTGACCATGCTTTAACTGGAAATGCACTCACATCCAACAGCCTTACAATTTGATGCCATGACCTATTATTTTTCAGGAAACTTGAAAATACTACATATGTGAGCAGAGCAATTGTTTGCTATGCTGTTAGTTTCTAATAGCAGGTCTGATACATCAGGCTTATTGCTTTTGGATCCTTTTTCATGGGCAGGTCTCAGCATATGAAAGGCACAGACATTTTCATCAAAGTATTTAAAATGGCTGTGTGCTGTCCACACTGTTTCTTCTACTTCTGTAACACAATGGGAAAAATACACACATGAAGCAAATTACAAAAATACCAAAACAGGTGAACTAAATTAAAAGATTATCAGAATTAAGGCCTTCATATAATAGCAGCTTGCCTGGAAACAAAACGGACCAACTTAACAACTAAAGAAAATAACCAAGATTTAATTTTCAGAAAAGCATGTTGTTTTGTGGCTTTTTTTTTTTAAAGCAAAGGCAATGCATTACTAACAGGAAAAAAAAAAAAATCCAGCAGTGACAAACTTGTCAGTTTTTTGTTCTACAGAGACATCTTCTAGCCATTCTGTAAAATGTATTCTCCGGGTTAACAGAAAAATCTTACGAGCGTTTGAGTACTCAAAAAAAATTTCTCCCAATGCCTCCAACTCAAACCAAGAAGTCCAAGATCTGAAAATTACAACAGCATGTCAAATTTTTTAAAAACCTAAATATAATTGAGAAAACAGAACACAAAGGAAGAATGTTACATGCTTTATATGTAACTCTGTATTTTTATGTAAGGATCAAAATATTTTTCTTCCTTGTCAGTTCCTAAAAGCATCACAATTGCATTACAAGCTACAAACTGCTGCTATAGCATAATCCACTGACAAGAAACAAAAGGTGACAAACCTATTTAAACTCATAATAATGTTTTGAAAATGTTGAAAGATAGCCTTCTCTATTTTCATGATGTCCTCCTGTTACCGTAAATCTAGACTCAAAAGAACCCTCTAGAATTTAGTTTGAACTTTCAGAAGGCAAACATTCTTTACTGCAGTGCAGGATACACGAGGGATTACCCCACCTAACATGCATACACTAAACCAAAAGTTCATCCTTTATATACCTTAAAGACATGAATATTTATACATTTTCTGAGAAATCTCCACCTTTCTGCCTATCTACTATATTTACATAATGCTGGTGTTGCAAAACTACACTATGCATGCTCAGGGGCCTCAAGTGGTCGTTGGTGGTTGTCTGGGGAGTTAGCCCCCTACTCCTTTTCCCTTTTTTATGGTCATGAGTCTTTTGAGGACAATTTCTTCTCCTTGGATGTTTCCCAACTCTGCGGGCCAGCCAAGCTGTTCTTTCTTATCTGCCTTATTTGAGTATTTCTGCCAGGATGTATCTATTCTCAAGGTTAGGATATCTTCTCTGTACACTTTAATCGCTCAGGCCTTGCTAAATACAAAGTTAAACATTGTTTGGTAAAAGAATTTCTTAACATTCTCCCTATTGAGACATCCAGGTATACACAACTGGGTACAACATGACCACATAAGGTATAATGGAATGCTTCTCTTATCACTAATTGTTACAGGCATGAACTGCTTGCAGGCATCAGCTAGCAGGCACTAATCACTTCCAATGAAGGTGAAGTTCCCTAACTTCCTGCACAGTGCCATAATAAATGAACATGTCCCAGGGACCTATCAAACTGGTAGCCAATATCAAAGCAAGCTAAAGGCTTCTCAGCAGAATAGACACAATTCTTGGTTTTAGTGACGTCAAAGAGAAAGAACTATGGTGGGGAAAGAATCACCAGACACCACTGTTCTTTGGCTGGGGCTGTAGCCTCTATCTCCCTCAGTAACTGTCAACTAAGTTTCTCTGCATATTTTTATTTTTAAAAAATCCAGAAGCCTTGTTTCACTCTCTTCAAGATCTTCTTTTGGTACTAAAAGGCCCTGTCTTCTGCACAAGATTTTTACAGGTACACAAGTGTTGAGCTTGCACACAGGTCATACATACAAATATTAACTAAATAAATAATATTTTAGGTTCTGTAATAAAAGCTTATTTTCCAAAAATTAGGTTCCTTAAAAGAAAAACACACCAAGAACAACAAACAAACAATGCAAGCTCACTTTTACCTTGCAGTTTTCCCTCTCTCAAGCCTGCATTTTCTTTCTTCTCTAACTTCACCTAGCAATACAGAACTTAAAGGCAATTCTTTCTTCACTTCTTTCTTTCACACAAGGCATTTTTAAAAAAGCATCACCAAACTGTGTCCTGTTTTAGAAAGACCGTAGTAAAATATTACCACAGATTTCAATTGCAGGGCCCTCAGTATTTAACGGCAATATTAGGATCATATTTAGGAGTCCCTATAAAACTTAGAGATGTTTGAACTCTCTTAAAAAAACCAACAGCATATGGAGAAAGGCAGGCACCTGAAATTCCTGTATTTCTTTGCGTATGGCCTAGCTGCACTAAAAGCCAAATTCAGTAACATCTGACAGACCACAAACCTCTGCTGAGTTCTACGGCACTGACTGGAACATAGTATTTTGTACATGAAAGAAAGTTGCTACATAATCAGCTATAGCATAATCTATAACTACACAATCTCTAAATATCATCAGTAGGACTGTGTATTATTTAACTATTAAATAGTTTCTTTACCAAATTTTTGTATTCAACTGTAAACAATTTACAAATTCAAAACTAACAAAAACTTAGAAAAAGATCTGTAGCACTGGCACCCTTCACAGTGAGAGGAGGAGGAACAGAAGAAAAATTGTTTTAGAAGTTCCTCTGATCAACAAGATGAAAAGAAAAAAAGGCCACTGTCCTGTTCACTTTAGCGTTTATTTTTCAGATCTGGAAGCTAAAGTATATTAGCAAGTGAGCAAGACTTCTGTGAGAAGCGCAAGAAGGTAACAGGCAGGGTAAAACGTACACAAAGCTTACAGATTTCAGTAAAGTTTTCATTAAACTTTCCATAGGGAGAAAGTGTATATATATGGGGAGCAACTTAGTTTATGCCCATTCCTCTAATTTCCCTGCTAAAAACTACAGATTTGATAATGCCATCAATTGCATAGACTGGTAGAGCTCAAAACACAGCCTTAAAGAATTTACTCCAGTCATTTATAAATGCACACTATATGTGTATCTTAGCATTTATTTTAAGCAAAAATTATTTTCCTTGATTGTGACAAGCTAAGTTTAAAAATATTGCCAAACTTCAAACTCAGTACATATATAAAACATTTTATTGATAAAGAACACATAGGTAATTATGCAATCCCCTGGTTCTTTATACTAGCTTCATAGGATACCTGATAAAAGGGCTTTTTTCTTAATTAAATCAGCAAGCACACACTCAAGCATCCTTACCATAGCAAATCAACTTGTGTATGCGTTGAATGAAAGCAAATTCAACATATAAACCCCACGAACTGATTTCACATAAGGCATTATTATAAGCAGTATGAAAAGTGTTTTTAAAAGCAGTGTGAGAAACACTTCGACAGTGCTCCTTTCAAGATGGATATAAAGGAAGGGTGATACCTTCTCTCAATCCATAGATAGATCCGAGAATCACTGTAGTAAAGGGTGCAGAACTGATTTTTACTTCAGATATACCAGCAAGATTAAATTGATCCCTGCTCATTGTACCATATAAAAATCAAGAGAAAATCTAAAGAACGTGAAAAATCCCAGGGAATCTGCAGAGAAAAAGGTCACAGACACCTGTAGTTTGAGGAAGAAACAAGCCTTCGCCCCACATACTATATGCACCCCCTACACCTCATTGGATCATTATGAAAAGTTCATTATGATTTTAAGAGACAGGGATATGCCAAAGGCAGTATGTTGGACGTTTTTTAAAAAAGCTAATACAGCCACAGAGCGCAGCTTACATAGTCTGCTAGAACAGAAATTTACAAAGATAAACCTGATACTCCTACCAGTAAGTTTGACATTGCCTGCTTTATAGTAAAACAGAAGTCAGTCCTGTTGAACAGGACTAGGAAATTTGCAAACCAAAACCACCCACAAAGGTCAGTATTAACCTCCCCACTCTGTTACCCAACTGCAGCCAGTGCCCCTTTCAGCTCAGCTGCCGCCACTGTGCCTTCTAGGGGAGAGCTCTCCATGGGCAGCTCCAGGCATCTTGTCTGCACAAAACTAAGTATTTAAGTTAGAGCCATAAATATCACCTCCGATAACAACTAATGAAACCCATAACAAAACAACTAATGAAACTAATGAACCCTTAGGCATACCCTCAGCTGCAGAGGAATCCCTTCCAACCTCGCACTGCTCCTAAAGGGTTCAAAAAAGTACAGAAGGCCAGAGACGATGAGCTGCTCTTCACCTGGAGTGCAGGGGTAACCCCTTGCTGAATCTTCCTCCTCCAGGAACGGCCCCAACCAGGCCACCAGCAGCTCCAGGTTGAGAAGTTTTTGCAGCCAGGAGAATGGGGTCTCACCCCAGCTCCCCATGAAAGGGGGTTTGTGCGGGGGATGGGGGGGAAAATTGGGTAGCAGCTCCGATAACCAACTGCAACAGCACTAGTGGAAGGTGTCAAACCAGACTAAAAGGGGTGCTGGCCCTCCTCCTGCTACACTGCTTCTAAGACCATAGGCTGCTTTTGGGATCCGCTAAAGACACGCTTTTAAGACCGGTGTGTATGTATGTACGTATCTGTTTTTATTATTATTAATGTTTTTTCCACGAACACGACTGCAAACCCGTCTCCAAGCCCCAGCGTACTATTCCTCTCAATCCTCCGCCAGACCTCCGCAGCTCGCCCTTCCTCATGCCCCCGGCACCCCCGCCCGGGGCAGAGCCGGCCCCTCAGGCGCTGCGAGACACCGGCCACACGGAGCCGCGACCTCCCGCCGCCCCCCGGGCGCGGTGGCCCAGCGAGGAGAGGCGAGAATACTTAGGGGGGATAAACATGCCAAAACACTTCCGGTTTTTGGTTCATCAACATTTAAATGTGCACAATTGCACTTGTCATTTCTCTTCATTTATAGTTTCACTGAAGTTAAACTTTCAACTGCCCAGAATCACTTTTTTTGTGTGTAGTATAGCAGGTTAATATGCATGCTAAGCAGTGTGTATCAGTTGTTAAGGAACAGCTACAGTGAAACTGTTTCTTCTCATCTGATTTACTTAATGAATCGATCTCATTTTGAAAGAGAGGACGTTTTAACTGCAGTTTATGTTATGTATACTTCATATACACGGCATCAATGATCAGCAGTTTGGGATTTTCAGAAATTTCAGGTTGACTATCAAGAAATGAAGGTTAGGACATCATACGCTGAACTGCGAAATCTTCTCCAAGGGCTGAGCTTCTGTGTCAAATACTGCTGTAAGCGTAACCATCTTCAAACAATACATCTTTACAGTAAAATAAGACCCAAAAAAAGCCACATCCTGGACTGTTCAGGAAATACATGCACACACAGGACTGTGCCACCTGGAAGCATCCTGCTGTGGAGATTCTTTTCTTGCAAGGTATGCTGTTTAAGTGTAGACTTAACAACCACCTTGGCACATCTGTTAAGGAAGCCAACCATATTTTTCAAATGTTGAGGAAACACATTTTTCCTAAAGGGTTTGAAGCAGGGGTATGAGTACTAAGTTTTCAGTATGTTCAAAGACGTATATTGTTGTTCAATTTTTGCTATACTGTTTTGATGTACAGCTGTGTTTTGGTTGATTTTTCCTGCTGTAGCAATTTTTCAAAAGTTGGTATCTTCCGGAAAGATTAGATAAATTGTCAGGAGAAAACTGCAGGGAGAGATCAGCTAGTGTAGAGGCCAAGTGTCCAAACTGATGAGACCAGACCTAGCCACTGTGAGCTGGCTCAAAAAAAACCTTGGATTATTTTTTCTCTGCCGACCAGGAAGCCATGGTTTGTACCATATTACATATTAAAATATTCTATTGACTTCTCATAATTGTATTCACATGTAATAAACTGTATTTTAAAAGGGCCTTGGATTTATTTCTGTAAATAAATATTGTGTAAGTGGGTGGCAGCATATGCAGAGAGTCACAAAATGGTGTGCAATTTCAGCTCTTCTGTGTCTGTGTTTCTAATACAGTTTACTGAAGGTATTCTAAAAGTTTTCTGCAGTATGACAGCCTGTAACCAATTTATATGCATAATACCTAAGTACTGTTTAAAAAGATTGGTGTTTTGGTTTATTTTATCTTAAACATTTTTTTCACATGGATGCATGGTGGTTCTAAAATTGTGTGAAGTTGACAGTGTTTCTTCAAAGGTGACCCAAAGATCATCTTGTTGTAACCCTCTTATTTCTAACCATAATATAAACAGCTCCTAAGTCCATGTCTGAGAGATGTGAGAGCAGTGAAAACATATGATTCCTTGACAGATGAGAATGTGTGGTTCTGTTTATTCATTGGCAGTTCGTGAACACAGTTACAACTGCTGCTCTAGGACACTAGTTCCAGGATACAAACAGGTGGTTTTCACCTGAAAGGAAACTCTGCCTGTTTGCTTTGGCGCCTATGTTTGCAAACTGGTTGTCATTGAGATCCTGTGCTATCCTCAAAATCTTTTTAGGTGCTCGCCTAGATGACTCATTTTTCCCCAGGCAGGGAGGTGTACAGAAACTCTAATCTATATCTACACTGTGGCCACCAGCTCTATATAATATTTCCAAATAAATACAATGGGAACCATTGAAAACAAAAGGAGGGGAATTATCAAAAGATTCATAAAGTGTGGAACTTGCCAAAATAAGTTGTGGATGCTGAAATTTTACATAGGTGCAAGGGGGGATGGTACATGTACATGAAAGAGACTAAATATCCAGAAACCACATTCAGCTTGGGAAATTACTGAGCTAAAATCATTGAAGGCTGGGGAATACCTTTTGGAGAATATCATGTGCTTGTCCCATTCTTAAGCTTTCTGAATATCCATTTATGGCCATTGTGGGGTTTGTCTTTGATTCCTTCTGGTTTGGGGAATGCTGTTTTCTTGCAGTAGTTTTTCCATTGACTGGGGAGAGGGTGGTACAACTAACACACCTTGCGATTTCTTTACCTTGACTAATTACACAGTTGCTGCAGAGCTTCTCTGAGGGCTTTCATGGTTTCTTTGACTTGTGCTTCTGATTTGATATGTGAGGCTAGAGGGACCGTTGGTCTGAACCAGTAATGAACACTAATATGCTCTTATGAATGATGTGGCTTACGTTCATAGGGAGTTTGGTAACTGGAGCAGATAGTTTATCCCCTTTTCGGAGTCTTCTCATAACATGTTTTAGATCTCATGTATTTGTGAAGACAAACCAGGATCAAATCCAACAGTTCTTGTTGCAAAGTGAGGTAAAAAAGATGTGCTGCTTTTTAAGTTTAGACACACTCAAATAATACATTGAATGTTATAAAATGCTCCTTTGTGTGATCTGTGCAGCATCACCTACTGTAATATACCTGGTTAAGCTTATTATCAGTCAAACTAGATTTTACAGCAAACAAAAAGAAGTAGCATTGTTCTGGCGATTTTAGCACATTTTAAACATTTTTACAAGAAAAGATGGTTTTGTTGGCAGTGAGGTAGCAGTAGTCTGCTGACAGATTGTGAAAAAACAGATCCTCATGCTTATTCCGGATCAAATTGTTGCAGAACCTGTATCAGTTCACTGCTTCACTTCATTCTGCACCTTATGAACTTTTATACTAATGCTTTTGAGGAAGTAGAGCAAGAACCTGAACAAGCTACTAGGACTCCTAGGTACAGGGACAGAGGTGTGGGCAGCTTTGTTGTCTAGGAAAGGAAATGAGAAATTAAAACAGAAAGATTATGAGAAAACACCTCTGAAGGAGGAAAAATAAGAGAACTCCATAAAAATTAACTGAAAACTAGTTTTAGAACAAGAATAAACATATTTACATGTAACCAATTAAGAACATACATTGATAGTACCTTAAATTTTGCAGAGAAAATCTCAGTAAATGTGTCAAGTGAAGCACATTTGACAATGCCTCCTTAAAAGATCAGAAAGAAATGAAAAGAAAAACTTACTCCAACTGTGTTGTTGGGGTTTTTTTAATGGCACATACTATTGTAATAGTGCAAAGTTGGTTTGGCTCTCTAGCTCAGGAAATGCCATTATTGCCTCTATATTCACATTGGAGTACTGAGTGCTGGCTTGTAGCCATTGTTGTCTTTCCTTACTTAGCAGGAAGGAACAAAAATCCCTTCCAAAAGGAAGCAAAATACAGCCATAACAACATCAGAGCTTTTGTACAAGAATCTTCTGAAATCAGAGCAGGAAAACTGGAATGACATTTCAGCGAGATACAAAGATATGACAGAAAGAATCAAGGAAAAATTAGAAGAATTACACAACAAGTATATGTTCAATTCAGAAAGCCCAAGGGTAAGTGGCAAAAAATACAAACATTTCTCATCATTGAGTACAAATAAAAGGCAGTGAAATCATTCCTGCTATAAAATGCTGGTTTACTGATTATGGTGGTAGTTTTGAATATTTTAATAATTATGGATAGTAATAGCATGTGTTTAGATCAGCTTATATCTGTTATAATATAGCATGTGTTTAGAACAGCTTATACCTGTTACAATAGTGTATTTACCTTAATTTCTCCATACGCAAAAGCAAGTAAAGATAAAATAATCATCTGACTTTTAGATAAAGAATAAAAGACCTAAGTTACAAGAGCAGTTGTGGGTGATCTGAGCCTTTGGTTAAATTTAGAGCAGGTATGAGTAGCTTAAGTACCTTAACTTTGACAGAACCTCTTTGATAAGTGCAGTTCCTTCTTCAGTTCCAAATATATGTGCTCTATATTCTGTCATTTGTGTTTGTTACAGTTGTGTTGTACAGAGTACAGGGATTCTAAGGAAACAGGTCTAACTATATGTTGGACTTGAAACACATTTGTTTTGTATTGAACAGATCAGGTTTGGAGAGAATGTGTACTTTGAAGAGAATGGCTGCATATTTCTTTCGAAAGCACATGATGGTAAGGGATTTCTCTTCCTAATATGGTACAATTGTTAAAAATGTTGTTACATGTATTACTTAGTGTAATTTTCTTAGATTAAAACTTAATTGCTCTGTTTCTTAAAATAACTAAACTAAAAATACTTTTATAAAATTCTTTAATGATTGATTAATGATTCTAGAAACCTGAATCTGAAAAGGTGAGCTGTAGAGAGTTATAGTATATATTGATACCAAGGCAAGTTTCTGGAGAGGAAAGAGAGAAGTCACTTCTTTTCAGAGCCCTAACTTAACATTTTGAAAAAGGAAAAGCATATTCATGGTTTTTTTATTTCTGAAGGGAAGGGAAAAAAAATATACTAATTGTATTTAGTAAAAACAACTGTTCTTTAGGTATCTGAAGCCAAGATCTACACTTCAAAAATATTTTTAATAATAACTACAGACTTTAGTTCTTCCTGGAACTGTAATTTTTTTTGTTTATTTTTACAAAGTGCATTTGCAATTATCTTGCAAGACAAATATTTGGTATTAATCAATTCCAGTAATATGCTTGTGAATAATGCAGACAGACTTGTTAAATACAGGCATTAACAACCACTGTTTGTTTTGACAGTCCTTTAATTACAGGATTTTTTTTTTCCTATCTCTTTTTTTATGTAGTAGATGAAGGAAATATTGACATTTTATTCAGTACGGAAGATCTTGGCTTTTCTGATGCTTTTATTCAACGGATCAGAATTTCACCAGATCAGAGATACATGGCCATCGGCTTAAAAAGTGAAAATTCTGAAGAGGCAATCTGTGTTATTATGAAACTTGGTCATTTTCCAGTCATGGAAAAAGTAATTCCAAGTGTATTTAGTTTTGGTAAGTTGTTTATAAATATCCTGTGGATCACATCAGCTTTCAACATTTTTGTTAGTCTAAAAGTAATATTTTATTTATTTTTTTTAAAAAGCACAAGATTTTTAGATTTAATCCTAATAGGTGTTGACTTGTTTCTTATTTAAGATTTCTTCCACACTGCACAATTACAAGTTATCTGACGTGGATGAAAGTGACTGCTTTCATGATACAAGTTTTCCTTCATTGTAAAAGTAAGCAAGTTGTACATATTTGAACAGTCATGTAGATTATTTTTATTAAATTCACTATACTTCTTAAAAAATTTACTGATATAACTGTTTGCAATATAAAGATCTTTTTGAGAAATGTTCTCATTATTAAACCCTTACAGCTACAGTTGAAGTCACTGATAGCTGTAGACACTTAGCTTTGCTGAAATGTGAGCAAGTGCTACCTACTACTGCATATTGGCTGGAATTTCAACTGTACTCTAGGATGTGGGTCACAATACAGAGCCCAATTAAGTCAGTCAGGCCTTGAGTCAATTATTTCAGAATAGATTACAGAGATTTACATTGCAGTTAAAATAAGCAGGCCTAAACTGAAACTTTTTTATAGCATGTTAAAGAATGTAGCAAAAAGAATGCAATGCTCTGTATACAGTGTTCCACATCTTGTATTTTGGATTATATTGTTAGATACCATCAAGTATATATAGTGCAGTAAGCAATTTGTCTGGTCAAGGCAAAAAATTAAAACTCTGGGTAAAAATTCCTAGTTACAAAAATGAAGAGTAGCAAGAATATAATGTTGTAAGTGTTTGCACAATTGAAGTCTATAATGCCTGTTGAAAACTACACCTGCAAACTTGCCAGTGACATTTTTCACTGTACTTGATCTGAACATCTATCTGGGTTTGTCTGGAAGAATCAGTACATTTAAGAAACCAGCTCCCTGTTGCCTACATAGGTGTGACAGATAATAAAAGTATAAAAAGTGTCTATAAGAATGGTTGAGATTACACCCATTTTGTAAACTTACTCAGGTGTCAGTGAGGTGCAGAGGTATCATGAAGTACAGAGGTACCTCAATCATGAGAAGGAGAATTAGGTCTTATGACCACTTGCAAAGTATATACTCTTATTGCATGGTGCAGAGTACCAGGCAGACAAATGAAAGTTCTTGAAAATTTCCATCTGTGGGTTTTTAAATGCTAGGCTATAGAAGAACTTGGATTTATCTTCTAAAGACTTGTCTTTGTAGTAAACACTCTGCTGTCTGTGCACTTCGGAGCCACATTGTCGTTCAGATAGCAAATCGTTTGCATTACTTCACTGGTACTTCCTTTGGTTTTGTACTGAAAGTTAGGACTTATTCATAAAACAGCATACAATAACTTTTTTAAGCGTATGTATTAATTACATGGCTATAGGAGCAGCAGAGATAGCAGTAATTTGGCTGGATCAGTCAGATTATTAAACTTCAGAATAGCAAGGTTCCTGTATTTACACGTTTCTAATGTTGGTGAACACATACACAAGTACAGAAAACTGAAGAATTTTTATCTCAGCAGTGCCTATGGGGCATATGCATCATCTCTTTTTTTCTAAATGGTTTGCATGCAGTCACATGCAGTGGTCCAGAGCTCATAGTCTCTATTATCTCGCTGACTCCACGTAAACCTCTGTTTCTCTGCTCAGTTTTAAACAGCCACGCAATCTTCTATTTTCCTGTCACTTCCAGAACCCTCACAGGATCAAGAGCTTCCTCTTCCTGGGCCCTGGATCATTGTCCTCTGCTGCCGCCTTTTCCTTTTTTTTTTTTAATATTATGAGATTCTTGTTCTGTGGGGTTCAGAGGAAACATGGAAAATTTTTTTTGTGGCTTAACCCAGCCTCTGGGATGTAGAAAAGTGTTGTCCTCAGTTCCATGTCAGCCACAACTCACCTTTTCCAGCATTACGTTCACTGTTCATGGAGCTCCATTTTCTCTCAGTTATAGTATATACAGTTCCAAATTTGATATGTATTTGTCTCTTTTCCAGAATGGGCTACAAATGATGTTCTGTATTACACAAGTCAGAAGAACCTTAAATGCCAGAATGTGTTTATGACCACTTTCACTAATCAGAAACATACTAAGTTAGTTTATACAGAGCAAGATGCAAGGTAATACTTACCTAAAATATAACAAATCCTTTACATATTGTAGAGTATTTTATATGTAAAATATAACTGGTTTGGAAATCAGATTCTTACATATCATATTACAAATGGTAAAAGGTATTTTTAAGTTGTGTTCTGCTGTCAGTAGTGCCTTATGCAGTCTGAGAATGTGCTCTGTTCTCTTGATATGTGATCAACAGAGATTTAACTTTCCTCTCTTACCTCACGAGTTCAGCTGAGTTTATAAATGTCAAGGTCAGTCTCAGGTCAGGGTGTCCTTTAATGAACGTGTGACAGTTTCATACAGGGTAAATCAGACTGTGGATTTCATTTTGTTTCCTCTGCTATTGATGTCTGATACATCTTTTTAAAAACATAGAAGTTCAGGCTAATCCTTGCTCTGGGTAATGGATGAGCAAAATCATTACAGCATTCCCAGAGATAGAACTATTGTTGACTGAATACCCTCTCAATAACCTTTATTTAAGCAGTGGTCTAGGAAGACAAGAAGGCTTTTGCTAAATTGAATGCAGAACTAGTTTTTCAGCCATGCAGCATGTGGTAGATTTATACAGCATTCCATAAATGTTTGTGATTATTCTTAATTCAAGTTACATATTCAGTAAAGAAATTTCAATTATACTTTCATCTAAAAAAAACAGAAAAAAAATCTGCAATTGAAATGGAGTAAATAAGATCCTTTTATTACAGCTGCATTTGATGCATACTTTTGGAAAATCAAGTTACACTGACTTGACACTTCCCCACAGGGAAACTGTTGGCATAATTCTGAAGGTCATAGTCATTACAGTAAATCTACTAGAAACTTACTCTAAAGGTTCATGTGCTATTGCAGCTCATAACTGAACTCACTTCTTCATCAGAGATGGCAAGACATTCTTTTGTATTGCCACTGAGCAGTTCTGTTCTACGTCTCACCAGCTCTTTTGGGTGCAATCAAATATATTTTTTAGAAGCTGAAAATTTCTTGACTTCCTCAAAAATAAAAGCTACAAAGATAAAAAAAAATGGTAAGATCAAGGTCAGAGTCCTTGGGGAGAAGTATATCCCGCATTTCAGCTTGACTTTCTTAGAGGTAAGGTCAGCAGAGCTGAACTTCTGGAATCTCTACTGAATGCAGTGCCGTGCTCTTGCCAAATCCGTGAGAGGCAGGAGGTTGATTCCTTGCAGACTTCAGATGCCCTGCTGTGCATGTCCTTCTAAAGATGTCAAGAGGGTGCAATTAGAAAAAACAATAGTACCAAAAAAAAATGAGTTCTTCCACCTGCAAATAATTAAAGGCACTGAAAATGCTATCTAAAGCATCATTTCCTTCACCAGTCAAATATTTTGAAGTCTAGAGGGATCATTATTGCAGTAACGTATCTGATCTGCATAATGCAGATTATGGTACACAACCCTGCAATTTCATGTTGAAATCTTCTGAATCTTTCTGTTGGACAGTTTTGCTTTTAGAAACATCCAGTCCTGAAGATGTAAGATGGCAAAGAAACAGCTATGTCCCAAGATACGACATTCCAGTTAATTAGGATGACTCACAGAAGTGTGAATCTGAATTTCAGCCCAAACTTGTCTAGTATTAGCATCCAGTCACTGGTTATCATTTTGTTTTCTGTTTCTAGATTTTAGAAGCATTTAAAACCAGTAGATGGTTCCTAGTTTCTTAGATAGTTCCAAAACAAGTTCCTAGGTTTTTTTTAAATAAAGTTACGAGCTTAATAAAAAGTTCTACCTTTTGCCTGAACTTTAAAGGCTATATACATCAGTGAGCTTCCAGTCTATCTATCTCAGGGATGCAAAAGCCTGGATTCAGTTGGGCAACAACTGAACTCCTTTCCTTGCAGATTTCAGGTTCAACACAAAAGATTGTGGGTATTTGAATCCCAGGATAAATGCAGCAGGAGTGGGTTTGGGAACCAAGTAGTCTGGAATTTCTGCAGCCTGCTTACAGGCATGTTGTTTCTTACCTTGCAGGTAGAAGCCCGTGATTCTGAAAAAACTAATGTATTTTTTAAATTCTAATCAAGTTTAAGTTTGGTTTTGTTTGTTTAGTTGGTTTTTTTATTATTATTATTCCTTACAGATTCTTTGTGGACATATATTGCACAAAAGATAGACGTTTTCTCACTATCAACAGCAACAGCAAGACAACCTCGGAAGTTTGGCTGGTTGACTGTAGACAACCTTTTAAGTTACCTGCTCTTGTACAAGCACGAACAAAAGGGGTAATTTACCATGTTGAGCACAGAAATGACGAGTTATATATTCTTACTACATATGGAGAACCTGCAGAATATAAGGTGATTTTACATGATAATAAGATTCAGAGGATTCATTGAGATACCTGTTGCAGATTATATAGAAATAGTAAGGACAACTTTTAATTCTGTGCTTCACAGCTTACTGAAATAATTTAAGAGGATTACACAGAGCCATATGGATTGAAAGACTGATGGTAATACACAGAGTCTTGCCTGTAGCACACCGACTTGATTCTAACTCCTTTGGCAACACCAAGAAATGAGGATGCTTTAACAGTTATTTCCCCTATATTAAAACTTAAGTTGGTGATCTCAGTCTATATAACCAAACCACCTACAGTTCTGCTGGCCACACTGAAAGCCCTTATTACATGAAAATCTATTGTAGATTAATCTATGAGAATTGAACTTTTCCAAATGTTACTGAATTGTTCTTCCGTTTTGCCCAAGTAAAAGGAGTTTAAAAACCTCCAGTTTTAGTCAGGCAAAACACCCTGTACAAACTAATAATTTTATTTTTTTTTTAATAAAAATGTTGCATGAGATCACCTATATGTCTATACATCTCATTTGTAACTCTTACTACATCTTAGTAAGGCAAGGTTGTCTTTTGTTTTTACAGTTGATGAAGGCACCAGTAGCTTCTAGTGGCATGGAGAACTGGCAGTTAGTTTATGCACTGGAAAAGAAAACCAAGCTAGTGGACTTGGAGATGTTCAGTGATCACTGTGTTATGTTCCTGAAGATTGCTGGTCATCTTTACTTAAATGTGGTTTCTTTTGTTTCACATTCAGTTCAGTCAATAAAGGTATGTTTTAACTTGGCTTAAGCAGCATAATATTTTTCCAGCACGATTTCATTTTTTTTAACATAACATTGTAATGAAAGCAAAGATAAATTCCAAGAGTAGAAATCGTTTGGAAACTGTAATACTGCCAAGTTTATCATTATGACTAATTGTATTACCTGTGGTTGTTCTTCAGGATTTCATCATGTTCTTCAGGCTTTTTGCAGCACTTAAAGAGCAGCTATCCTATGAGTCAGTTCTTTCTTCAACTTATTACAGTCAAGCTCTTTACAATACAGCTGATTTCTAATATAAAACAGGACTCAAGTCCCTAAACACTCTACTTTGTTTTACTGGGCCTATTTTTTGTTACAGTCATCAGCGTAAGCACAGAATAAGCCTGGCCCTCTCATAGAACATTCAGAAGACAAGTATGGACACTGTCCTGTAATAAATGGGAAGAGTTGATATCGCAGTATGATTTGTGCAAGTGTTTCTTCCTTTCTCCAATTGTTACTAAATACTTGTGAATTAAAACCAAAGTGACTGAATTCAAAACCATGATTTCCAGAGATCACCAAAGTGACTGAATTCAAAACCATGATTTCCAGAGATCATTCGGATGAAATATTTATTTGTTTGCCTGAAAAATACAATCTGAACTACTTGTAAGTTTATTGCAATAAGCAACACATGCTACAGTTCTATAAAACTGCTACAGAAAAGGGTTTTCAACAAAGTACAGTTTATGGTCTCTGAAACCATTTCTGAAAACGGTCATAGTTCATTTATTCAGAAAGGGTCTGCAGTTACTCTGGAGAACTTGGACTTCTGCTGCCATTTCAGAAGTCTCTAGCAACCTAACCCGAGTAAGTAGCGGCCTGGCAGAGGGTTTGCCTATGTCCCTGCTGCTCTCAAAGAATGAATCTTGATTTCTTTTATTCTTAGCAGAGTTAAAAATCTTAACTATAATAGCAGTAAGTGTCTGAGGGTGAATGTGCCAGGAAAAGGTTTTGTTCTTCACAATGGCTGGCACTAGGAACAAAGTTAAGAGGCAGGGGTTTTCAGGGGCTTAGCATTACTGAGCTAACTCTCAGCAAAAGCATAACAACTGACATGGACTTGGCTGTATAACATGTTGAAGTAGGACTGGAAATCAAAGGGGAATAGGATATAAAAAATAAAACCAGTGCAGGATAATTTCAAAGAATGTTTTAATTTAAAAAAAAAAAATCTGCATTAATGCCCATATTAAACTGAATTTGGATTTATTTTTCTTTTTTATTTCATTGTTGAACTTGATCCAATAGCCTTAGGGGAAAGTTTGCTAAAGTCTTTCACTTTTTGACTGTTGCATTAGTGAATTTAAAACAAATAGGGATTGTGCTGCATACAAACTGAAGATAATTAGCTTGATATTCAAAATCTTTTCCTCTGAAGGACACACTAGGCAAAATTTATAGAAGCAATGTAAGGGTCTCACTTGAAATGCCGTGTTTTCTCAGCTACCTACGTGGGCCTGTGAATTTGAATTGGAATCTCATCCTGAACATACCACCAGTACTTGCTATTTTCAGCTCACCTCTCCAGTACACCCCCCTAAGCGTTTTGCATATTCATTTAAAGGAAATAATCTCATTGAACAAGCTGTGCAAGAGGTACCAATTATTACGAATTGTCACACTACACGTTTACTAGCTAAAAGCAAGGTAAGATTTTTCAGTCCTTTTCGCATTCCCTTTATTCTTCCCTTCCTCCCCACCCATTTAAAGAAAATGCATTTGGCAGTGAATAGAGATTAAAAAAATGTAAAGAGCAGTTGGTGCTATAGTTACTAAACAGTGGGTGTTTTCCTCAGTGCTATAGAGAAGAACAAGAAAGAGTCGTGATAAGAATTTGTTTTTTTTCCATTAACCTGAGTATGCTAGAGGAGATAACAGCACATGATGAGTCAAGAATCTTAGTGTAGTGTAACTTAGAATTGCTGGTTGATGTATGCTATCATACTCTCCATGATAAATGAAAAATAAACCAGCTGTTGAAAAGAGCACCCCACAACTAGCTGCACAGTATAGATCAAGAAATGAAAGTTTTAACAGCCTGAGTTTAAAAAATTGGAGATGTTAATAAAGAGTTTGTACTGCAGTAAGTGGTAAACTATTTTGTTAATAATAGATATTCTTGGTGTTAAAGGGGGAAGGAAGACTTGGGTGCTTTGGTAGTTAAACTCCTCAGGTGTTGCACTTAAATGAATTTTATACTCTGCATCCATAAGCCTACACAGCAGAGGTTCAGTCTCTTGCTTTATTTTTCAAGAGTGCTTTGTACATTCCAAGTGAAAAAAATTACTGTAATCAAGAAAACACATTTTAAAATAAATAATTGAAGTTTTCATTGCCATGTATCATTGAGGTTTCTGAAATGTCCTTTATTGTAAAATACTCCTTCATTTCCAGGATGAAACTTCGGTGCCAATTACAGTTTTTCATAATATGAATTCTAAAGAGCTACACAGGAAACCACTTCTAGTTCATGTATATGGAGCTTATGGCATAGATTTCAACATGGGCTTTAAAGAAGAGAAGCTGATGTTAATTGAAGAGGGTTGGGTATTAGCATACTGCCATGTTAGGTAAGTCAAATATAAAATGGAATTAAGATTTTAATCGGTGGGATATACAGATATTTCCTGATATGCAACTGAAGAGGTACAGAAATAGTTTTTTCATGTAGCTATACCTAATTCTTTATGCTTCTCACTTCCATCTCTTAGATTTTTTTTTAAAGTAGTTTTTAACAAAAAAAATAAATTTACCTCAGGAAAGAAAATTACACTTTTGAGACCACATACTGCATTTAGGTTGCTTAAACCAAGAGGATGGTTGTATGTAACTTCTAATCTTCCGAAGTCCCATTACTTCTTGTCTCATCTTTCCTTGAGGAAAAAATTTGATAACATGTTCAAATTGCAATTATATGCTACCCCCCTCGCTTTCCAAGGGCACTGTGTTTGGTCTGTATCTTGTGAAAGCCATTTGCCTTCTACAGCAACAACGAAGTATTTAACCCACATTTCTTGTTCTTTTATTGGCTCAATCCTCTGTCTCCAGTTTAGCTACAAATCTACCAGTTTTATAAAATGACTGTGTACAATAGGCTTTACATTTTCCTTGAGATAATAATCCAGTAGGTAAAGAAGATAACAAAAGAATCACTTTAGGGAGCAGAAGGAAGGGGGAGAATGAGCAGTTGTTTGAAATACCAGTTCCAAAACAAAATTCAGCATACAGATACATTCAGTGGCAAGCATTGTGCTGTTCTTTCACCCACCCCTCTAAATATTGTAAGGTGCGAGTCAGTCCTAGGTAAAGATGGATTCTGCATCCAAAGATGAAAAATTTTGGCAGACTAATCAGTGAACCTGAATAAGGAAACTTGAGGTGGCTTAGAACCACCTGTGGTTGCATAGAAAGGAATATAAATTAATTTAAGTTTTGTATTTTAATAACATTTCAAGTAGTATTTGAAATTCACAAACTAGCAAAAAAAACCCCCAACTTCATAACAGTCTCAAGATCTAAGCTATACAGAAGACAAATCCTCATAGTCTCAGTGTGAAGCTGAGAAATACTGGTTTACTGTTTTTAATAAATGCTAGTGTTAGGGACATAAGTATTGCAATTTTTTTAGTTATTTTAATCATTTCCTTTATAAAAAGATAATGTCTGGTTTTGTTCTGCCTACAATGACAGCATCATTTCCTAAAGTGGTGCTTTTCTCCTGTCAGTTCCAGGACACAAGCATACAAGGACACAGAGTGCCATTATGCAGTTAGGATTTTCACCAATCATCATGCATGAGTTTTGTTTTTTTTCTTTTGTTTGCACGTTGGGTATTTTAGCCATAAAGAAGGGTAAAGACAAGAATAGAAAAGAGTTAGTCAGGAAGACAAGCTATGGCTTTACAATTTAGTGGCTGCTGCTGTCATTTCATTATGTGAAGCTTTGGAAAATGCTGCGTGGCAAAGAGACTCCAACTTGAATTGTTTTAAATTTCAGGGGTGGAGGAGAACTAGGCCTTAGCTGGCACAAAGATGGATGTCAGCGTAATAAACTCAAAGGTCTCCATGACCTTAAGGCTTGCATCATGCTGCTGCATGAACTGGGATTTTCTCAGCCAAAATACACAGCACTAGCAGCTGCCAGTGCAGGAGGAGTTCTTGCAGGAGCCCTGTGCAACACTGATCCAGAACTTATCAGAGCCATGGTTTTACAGGTGAGGTGCTGCAGACCCTTTATGCGTTGTTATTAAACTGTATTTTCCATTCATTCAACCAGTTTCAGAATTGGAAACATTCCAATTCAGAATTCACTTCCCTCATTTGTTTGAGAAAGCCTTGACCTAGACATTTGAGGTCCTGTATCCTATTTACCAACTTTTTTTTTTTCCTTCTAACAACTTCTAAGGCTCCTTTTGTAGATGTTCTAAATACAATGATGAAAACACATCTCCCACTGACAATTGAAGAACAGGAAGAATGGGGAAATCCATTAGCAGATGAAAAATGTATGAAATATATCAAAAGCTATTGTCCATACCAGAATATTAAGACACAGGTAAAACTGCTTTCTGCGTGGGATACGGTAATAAAGTGTAGCAGTTTATAAGAAAACAACAAGTGGATAATTAATTTTTTTTTAAAGTCTATTTTACCTTTTCAGTGCTTTAAACTCCAGTATTTTAGAATTGTCTTAGCTGCTGCTTTGTGTTAAAATGAATTATCAATACAAATATAAACTATTTCAGTAACAATTTAGGCAATCTTTGGAGTTATAAGTGACTACTGAAATTAACCAAGCACCTTGTCCTAAATAATCAGTGGATTTCAAAAACTGCTTTGTTTTTGTTATAGGACTGCCAGGAAGTAATAGGTTATTCTGTGGTATAACAAACCACATGTAAAATACCTTCTGGGTTTTGCAGAGTTTGTCACAGGAGGAAGGAGGTATTTTCCAGTGATTAAATACCTTTTCCAAGGCAAACAGTGAAATAGAAAAGGAGCTATAGCTTTGATGTCATAATTTCATAATTTCTTTGAAGTAATGTGTTAGCTGTGTTGCATAGCTAAAGTAAAATCTTACTATTTGAAAACAACTCCTTTTTATGTATAGAAAGATTGCAGAAGTAAACCTCAACTACCATTCTAAGGTGAACCATTCCATGACAGGTATTCCACTTTTATTGTAATCATCAGCAAGCAGACACGTTTCAGACCTTTACCAGTGGGTAGAGGAATTTTCCAATTACCTTTTGCAAGTACGATCCCCTAATATGAAATAATTTGCACTCAGAGCAATAAAAGTGCTTTTTTAAGAGCAGGTAATTATGCTATGGATGTGTTTTTAGATAAACCATAACTAATAGTACAGTGAGGTTAAAATTTGTTACTCACTTTATGAGAAAAATCAGTTGTCAGATATTTAACTGGTTTTGTTTTTTAATCTCAGTGTTATCCTTCAGTTTTTATCACGGCGTATGAAAATGATCAGCGGATACCACTGACAGGAGTTTTACGATATGTTCAGAAACTTAGGAAGGCTGCACTAGATCATGCCAGCAGAACAAGTAAGAAAGGTAAGGATATTACAGATGCATGGAGTTAACTAAACCAGAATATTAGGAGTCATATAATTAAACACCATAGAGATTCACTCCTCCTTAAATGCATTTATTTGTACAATATGATCCAGTATGTAAAGCTCTGAAGTAATTTATCTGCAAAGAGGAGATGTGGAGTTGTACTGACAGATAAACCTCCACTTCCAAGATGCGCTCTCCGGAGCCTCAGCAGGAACGATATCTCTGTATTGTAGACCTGCCTGAAAATAATCAAACCTATGTGTTAAGTATTAATAGTGACAAACCCTAACAGGCTCAGGAGACCGTCTGAGATGGAAACAAAAGTAAAGACTGGAAGACTATGAGTGGGACTCACTGTTTCCTAGTCCTCAACATGTGGTGGCTGTTGGACAGTGCTAGGTGAAACTGTATCATCTAGTCCAGCTACTAGTACTGATACGGTCCAGCCACTGATATGGTGAGACAACACGTGCATAAAAATCTTATTTTTGCTGCTCTACAAAAACCTGCTTTTCCCAGTTTGCAAAAATCACAGGTGTTAGTCAAAGTTAGAATGACAACAGTGCCAAGGCATAGACGTTTTTGTACCTGAAACTTAACAGTAGCTTTGGGACTGTTTCCAGCAAACAGTACATTCAAGCCTTACTATTTTCTAGTGCCATCTCATCTGGGGAGAGGCTTTTACCATCAGTACCAAAAGAGATACTGAATTAGCTTTTCTAAATTTTGTTATGCCCCTTCTCTGCCAGCAGCAGAACTCTGATGGTTGAGAAAGGATAGTAGATGCTGCAATTGGTGTTTCAGTGTTTGGTCAGGAAAAAAAAAAAAAAAAAGCAGCACATTTATCCAAAAGACTCAGAGAGAAAACAAAGATAGTGAGATAAAACAATAGCTTATGAGGAACAGCTGAGGGAACTGGAGTTATTTAGTCTGGAGAAGAGGAGGCTGAGGGGAGACCTCATTGCCCTCTAAAAATACCTTAAAGGAGGTTGCAGAGAGCTGGGGATGAGCCTCTTTAACGCAGTAGCAAGTGACAGGACAAGAAGTAATGGCCTCAAGTTGTGCCAGGCAAGGTTTAGACTAGATGTTAGGAAGCATTTCTTTACAGAATGGGTTGTTGGGCGTTGGAATGGGCTGCCCAGGGAGGTGGTGGAGTCCCCATCCCTGGAGGTATTTAAGAGTCAGACTGACATAGCGCTGAGGGATCTGGTGTAGTTGAGAATGGTCAGTGTTAAGTTAATGGTTGGACTGGATGATCTTCAAGGTCTTTTCCAACCTAGATGATTCTGTGAATATATAAACATTTTTCAAATATGTAGTTAATAGAAATATAAATAGTTCATCCAGCAAGTCTATGGTTCTCTTTTTCTTATGGAGCAACAGGAATTCTGTCAGAACAGAAGGCAGAATTACTTATCCCGAAACATCTCACTCACATCCCCACTTATCTTTTTCCTTGTTCATTCAATGTCAAGTGACTGCTAGCTTCATTGTTCCAGGAAATTGGAGCCCTAATATCATTTTAGACATCCGAGCAAATGGCAGTCATTGTGACTCATCTTGGGAGGATTCACTGCAAGAGGTACGTTCCCTTTATGGCACACAGCTGTAACATGTTGAAGGGAGGTGTCCCCTCCATTGATACTTCAACTCAATAGTTCATGCAGTCATTGAATGTATGTTTGAAGTATCAAAAGAAAAAAAAAAAAAAAAACTGCTGGAATTAAGGTTTTTCTTGCTCTGTGTATTTCAAGAGCAACTGGTGGTCTTCTATAAAACCCAGCAGTTTATATCTATATATGTAATTATGTATCTGTATATTTTTACAGATATAAAAGAGCCAGATTATTGAACCTCATTGTGCCTTAAGCCTCAAAATAGCACTTAACTCCAATCGTAATGTGCCCAGAGCTTTGAAGGAAAGGTTTCAAATTGTGCAAAACATTGTTCCAGCAGGAAGAGTCTTGCACTGTAGAGTATTAAATGCTTAAAATTGTTATATCGGCTATTTACTGCCATCTTCCTCATGAATAAAACATAGACAATAGGCTTGATCTTTATATTTTGAAATGCATGATCTAGAGTATCAAAGGACACTACTACAATTAGGTTTCAAAATTTTGCACTTTCTGTAAGTGTGCACGTTACATATTGCCCAGACCTGACACACTGTTACCAGTCTCTCATTTACACGTGGATACAAATTTTATTAATGTTAATTTTAACAAATCCTAGCAAACGTTATTTGGTTGTTGTGGCAGTTACTCTCAAAATTGATTTATTCAGGGAAAGCCTCATTGTGTCTTAGGGCAAGGTGTTGCTTAGCATTGGTATGGGAAAGGAAGATTAGAATAGCTGTACAAGAACCTGAAGGTTTACAGTGCAAAGGATACTATTTTACAATAAAATATTTTCATTATTTTAGGTTGCAAGACACCTTGCTTTTCTGAACAAAGAACTGGAGGAAGTATGTCATTTCCAGCATCATAGCAAATCCTGCAAATAGCTAATAAACACCTTGAAGAACTTCAAGTCAGATTCTTACTTCTATGAAAAGCGAACACCTTTTCCAGAGAATTTCTCCTCTTGGATCCTTGCTATATGGGCATGAGCAATTCAAGGGCAAAGTTAGGTGTGGCATTTGCTTATAAACATACAAATCAATAGCTGAATTTCTCTCCTGCCAGATAGTGCAGAAGTAGCTGCCTGCATGGATCAGTTGGTTCCATCCAGTCCCGTTCACCTAAGAAAGCAGTGCAGTGCTGCCCCCGCGCAGCTGAAGCGTGGTGCCTGGTTCATAAAGCCTAACATGGTAAGTACATGTACTTTGTCCAGGCGGCCTTTCCCGTTTAAGGCCTCTCTTCCAAGGCCACATTTTACGCAAGGCAGTAAAACTCCCAAGAAGTATTTAAAAGTCTCACTAGGGTCTTTTAATACTAATTCCCATAGGTAGATGATGATGACTATTGCCCTTCCTAGCTACACAGCAGAGATAGCATACTGATCCTGTGGTGGGACTGAACAATCTGCACAGAAGAAATGGACTCAAGAACAGGAATTTTAGCAGAACTCTCTCATATGAGTAGATTCAAAATCTTGCAGTTACCTTAGTTAGCATGGTAATCTTAAAAAGGAGGCACCACAGTCCTTCCAGAAGACAAGATGAACACCCCAGAAGGAAATGCCAAAACAAGAATGCCCCCACTAAACCAGCCTGATTCATAGCTTAGCTGACCTCTGAGCAGGGCACAAAACTGCTACACATTGCTTGTTAAGATGTATGGTGCGCACCTAGGGCCAAGGAGGACACACTACGTGGCTGTAAGCTCCTCAAGCCAAAACAGAGTTCCCCAGATCACCCCCATGTCCAAAGCAGAGTGTGCTGTCAGAGGCTTATCCTTCCTTTGTGCCACGTAAGCCACTGTAGCTGCACCAAATGCAAATCAAAGCATGTGAACAAGCGTGACAGTCAGTAGAGTTGTTTCAGTTGCTTACTCTGCACTGACATATGTACAGCTCACCTCAACCTTAGGGTAGAAAAATAAAAGAATGCAAATGTATTCTCTCAGCAGGGGAGGAGAATCAATTGAAAATACAGTCCTGGGTGTAGAATTAGACATATTAACTGTATTTTGTTGTTGTTCTTACTAACTTTGAGGATAATCACAGCTGTTAGAAAAAATAAGCCATCACAACTTTATATACTAGTCTTGCTTGCTTTTACCTATTTTAAGAAATACAGGGCCACCCCTTTAGAGTAAGTTTTACAAACCTACAGACTTCTAAAAAGTTACTATGAACAGCCACAGGCTCTGTCTTCCACAGAAACTCTTAATGACCAGCAGCTGTAAGGGGCAGCACCCAGAAAGCAACTGTTCTCTTTCCTCACAAGAATACACACACTTAAACAGGACATTTTTTAGTTCAGGTTTACTTTTTTTCTTCACAGACCCTAAGGGGGAGTTTATACCATACTTTCTCCTTTTCATCACTAGTACAGATGCAAGACAATCAGGTATCTGCTTTGGTTTTCAGTACGTTTATTTTGTACACAACGTTTTAAAAGCCAAAGAAAAATTAAAACTTTCAGCATTTCCATGAAGCCAACATTTTCTAAATTAATGTGAAAGTTTGGTTATTCTACTCCTGCACTTAACAGTACACATAGAGTAAATTGAAAGCACTGGAATAACAAGCTTTTTCTGCCACAAAACAATTTCCTTGGAAAGCCTCCATAGTATGAACAGGCTTTGCTGTTTTATATTCAAGGACCAGACCTTCTCCCATTTCAGTTTTAACTAGTTTGGTATTGACAGCTTTACCAGCATTGCTAAAATTAGTACTTAGTCTTACAATAGCTTCAGATGGAAGGTTAGGAACTATAGCTTTCAGGTCAATTGTCGAATCCTGCCCAAAATTGAGAACCATCATAAAGACTCTGTCTAACCCATCCAGTTCCCTCACATACACAAAAACATCACTGTCATTCCAGATGTAGCACATCCACCCCCGATGCATGGGGAGCTCATTGTTGCGAAGTAAAGTCAGCTCTCTGTACAAATTCAGGCTTGAGTTGGACTGGGTCATCTGGCTCTGCAACAGTCAGCATTAACAAGGTCATTTCTTTGCACCAAACGTAAGAAACACTGCTTACCTCTCACACCATCTGTTGAGAATGCACCTATTAGAATTCTGTTTTGACAATTATCTCTGCAAATTCCAATGAAAAAATGCTTTTTCTCATGCACTTTCCTGGCATTTGTGGAGTGGCAAAGGCAGAGGTTATTAGGCACGACAGAATTTCCCCAGCACTAACATTATTTCTTCCTCCCACAGTGCTCTTACAGTACAGTTTATTCAGGAGACAGCCACAGTCATTCAAAGCTTGATACTGAGTCTCATCTGCTGAAGTCACAGGGTTTGTTTTGTGGTTTAGATTTGTCCCGTCTTGTATTTTTTTTCTGTCTTCAATTCTGATTAGCACTGTAAATCAGCAAAGTCTGATTTACTGCTCTACTTATGTTAGAGATGGTCCATGTTAAGTTCATTACAAGGCCAGAGCCTTCCATAGTAAATGAAAGAAAAACCTGATTTCAATTTAATATTAAAATGGTTAAAAGGACGTTTAAAATCCAAATTGCCACATCTACATCATAATTGCAGTTGCTCTGCTCAAATGAATATAGAGGAAGCAGGCTTCTTGATGGTGCAAGGGTTTCCTTCTCTAATTAAATTTGTGAGGATTCAGTGCTTTTTCTTCCCTTAAGTTTATTCTTACTGCCAGTCCCTACTAAGTAAAAGAATTCATGTATCGATTTTACACTGACATATTTTTAGACCATTAGTTTGTCACACATACAGATACCTACTTCAACGTTTACACTTTGGTAGTCAGAGTTAACAGGTAACCAGGTACTGTTGCCTTCAGTAAAACCAGCATTAACTTTGCCATCCCACTGCATGGGGGATTTCTCTGGAAAGGTCACCTAGAAAATAAAGTGGTGATTAGTATATTAAAAAGTTGTGAGAACATGCTGTTCAAGGGACATCTTCCAAATGATCACTATTTCTGTATTGCTTTCTTTGGTCTAAGACAAAATGTAGCAAGAGGAGGATGTGCTTCTGCTCCAGATCTAAAGAAAATAAAAATCAGGACAGTTCCTGAAGTGGAGGAGAACGGATGGTCTCATGGATATGGCATTGCTGGGTAAAATGTGGAATTCCCAGATGACTCTACTAGAGTTGTCTCCCCTTGCAGCAGACAGTTGGATAAATGTTGACTGACAGCTTGAATATTCTGATAAATATCTAGACATGCAGTTAGTGATTATATGAAGTAATGAGCCCTAAGAAGAAATGCTGTTAAAATACCAGTAAGCAATTAGTAAATGCTCTTCAGTGTCTGTTCTGTAACAATCACACTTTTCACCTTAGAACTGTTCAAGTTTACATTTGCAAGGGGTACAATTTGGACAGGATTGTTTGTGTTAGAAAGATGAAATTATTTCCAAGTGTGAAAAGTTTATTGAAAACAAGCTTTTAGCCGATTAAAAAGTGTCAGTGTAAGAACTCTCAAGTTCTCATTTTGAAGAATTCAGAAAAATTCTGAAAAAGCTTCCGCATTGATACTGAAGAGCTGCCAAAAGATCTGACACTTAAATTTAGTAAGAGGGCATAAAATATTTTGCACATACTTTGAGTGTTTGTTTTCCACAAAAAAATGTTTGTCATATAAAGGGCACTTTTCAATACAATCTGTCAGAACAGCAGCTCAACAAAAGAAATTGTCACCTCGCTTTGTGACATTATAAATAAGGGGTTTCTCCTTTTAGCATGTTCTGAAAAGCAGGGTGAAAAAAAACCCTTAAGTTTTCAACACTGGTAATGTTCCCTTTCATCTTTACCTCTTTTTAGCTTCTCCTGAAGCGTTTCAAGTGCTGGGGCTAAAATCTATATCCTGAGCAAATACTCTCTATCTTTCTAAGACACCCATTAATCAGGGAATCTTCCTCTCCAGATTGAGTGAAAAGTGGTTTTGCATTGTCACAAAGCCATGAGCCACAGGGTGGCCACTAAGAGAGTGAGTAAACCCGAGGAGCCAAGCACAAGCCACTTTTCTGAAGAGTATCATTCTGTCAGCAGTAATCAGCAGCAGTAAGAAAACGCAGGAGATACTTTGACCTAGGTGTTTCTCAGAGGAAATGAGATTTCCTTTTAAATCAGAATAATTTCCTCACATCCGAATCAGACAAGCCTGGCAATGATCCTGTGCTTCAAGTACCTCTTTCCCTTTGATACAGAGCTAGCCAACACTGTTGGTAACATCAGCAAAGGCTGTCTCATTCCTGAAAAGAGGCTTTCCACAGTGAAACCAGCACCTGCTGCAGGACCATGTTCTCATGGTGCTCAGCTGTGGTAATGAGAGGCAGAGCTGAGCTGTTCCCTTTTGGGCTTGACCTTTTCCAGTCATGCCCATACATCTTGGACAAGGAGACACAACAGAAGTCAGGAATGATCATAGAAGAGGCAAGAAGCTGTAGGGGTTGAATGTGAAAGCTTTTACGTTATGCAGGTCAGCACAGTGTGAGAGGCACGCTTTGTTTTAATCCCCTGACCTTGAATTAACTTCTGAAAATAACTGTAATCTAACAAATCTGTCACATGTTACTTGTACCTGTGATCAAGTGAGCTAGGCACCTGGTTCCCAGGCTCAGGTACCTAAATCCTGTACAGAAAGGGATCTAAAAGACAAATCAAAAAACCCTGTGTGGCAAGCAAAAGCCACCTATGCTGGCCACCAGGAAATGCTAAGCAGGGGCTGGTCTGTACACCCACCCCTTCCTGGAGACCCTTGCTTCAGAGCTTGGGTGCATTATAAAGAGCTGTGGCTCAGCCGGGTGCCTTTGCCGAGCCAGACCAAAGCAGACTGCAGGAGATAGTGACTGTAGCTACGATGTGTCATGAACTCTAATTTCCTTTAAATACAGCCAGGAAATAATGGACTTTGACACAGCAATTAGGGTACTCCTGTG